GCTTCATAGCAGCACAAAGTGTCCCAAGGACCAGTGGGGCACCAAGGGTATGAGGCAAACAAGCTGCCTGCAAGCTGCGCTCATGCTCAGCACCAAGAACGATTTCCTATTCAAAATACTTTACAAACAATAACAAAGGGAAATGTGTGTATGCTTGCATGCAAAATAGAGCTATTGTGGGGGAACTGTGTTTGCTTGCATGCAAAATGCAGCTACTACAGGGTGGGGGCTGTGTTTTCTTTTCATGAAGGAAAATAAAATGCTTCTTCATCATAATCAAAAAAGCTGCACAAGAGTATTTTGCACTGAACTTTAACTTGTGTACTCTCTCATGTCCAGGGTGGAATTTCTGCCAAAAGGAGGATGAAAGCACACCCCTTCCAGCCCCTCCCCACCCAGAAGCCTCCCACCAGATGAGCAGAAAATGACAGCACAGCCACTACAACCCAGGCTTCCTAAAATTGGGAAGATTCTCTATGCATCTACCTACCAGGAATGACTTTCCTTCTTCCTGAAAATAAATGTTGGATTTCATCCTGGGAAAGGGGCTTAGGAGAAGATATATCTTAAGTTTTGCAGGATGGGTATTCTATCTCCTAGCTAGCTCAAATCCAGGCTAGTTCAATTCCAGCTCTCAGGAATAAGGTTATCCATTTGCAGGGGCTGCTTGATGTTATTTGTAACTCTGTATAGATACTTGAAAATAACAACATTGCAACCACTTTTTCTGTATTCTCTCTTTCCCTCCAAATATTTTAAGTTTTTCAGTGAATTCTAATAGGTGCAATGTATAGGGGTTAAGAGAGAGATGAGATCTGTGAGGACCAACCTAATCCTACCTTTTGGGTTTTCCTGGGCATGTTGCTTCAAGACGGTTATTTTTCCTCCCTAATTGACTTGATAGGAGTATGTATGTTTCTAGTGGTTGTGAAATTTTGTGTCTCTGGCTAAAAATCCTGGTCGTAGAAACCACAGGGGAGTTGTCCTGCACATAAAAATGAATAGTCCAAACTTCAGTTATAATTACCTCCAAACATCAGTTATTATTAATTCCAGCTGTTGGTTACAGGGGATAAATATATGTATTTTTATATTAATTTAATTTTGTTGTCTGATATGTAAGATCAACATAATTCCTATAAATAAATATCTTTGCATTGTTTTAGTTCTATAGTATGGTAAATAACAGGATTGTCAAGAGGGTAGTTTATATCTTAAATTTAATGAGGTAGATATTATATCAAGCTTGCCATCTGCAAAGTTACAGTAAAATATTTTTAGCGTCATAATGAGGGCAGGCTGGAAATCCTGCTCTAATGCATTTAGTCTCCAGTCCAATTCAGAGAATCAAAAAATGGTCATACGCATCTTTGTGATTCCCTGATCTTTGCTCATTACACAGCAGGCTGGACCCAAATTTCAACTTAAAAGACATTCAAGACGGTTACTGTATGACTCTGACTGCAAGGAGACCATTCTGGCACTGCAGGAGAGTGCATAGTACAACAGCAAGTCAGCTACTCCCTCTTTTCTGTAGGTACATGCAAGAAATCCTGAAAGAAAGGGTTTAAATCAGCTTCAAGGTTATTTTGAGTCTTAGAGACCCACAGATTTAGCTGTCTCGCATGTAATTCCTGCTCTAAATATGCATGCTGCCTGTTGTCCTTTTGCTATGTGTGGCGTTTTCCAAGGCACTAACAACACTGAGCAGCGTTTCTAGACAGCCTTTGGTTTTGTATCCTCAGTAGCCTGGAAACGTCTTGACAAAGAATGGTCTTATCTCAGCCTGCCAGGCAGCTGCTGACCCTGCATCAGCACGGGGCCGATAGCAGCAGCCACCGTACGTCCTGTAAATGCCACTGCCTGCCACAGGCCATCTTTAGTCTCCACGCAGCAAGCGCAGTATAACTGGAATGTATAACCCAGGCTATAGATGGTCCCATGCCAGTCCTGCTGTTCACTGCAGGCAGATGATGTCCAAAAAGGGTTAGTATGCTCTAAGCTCATGAATTGTCATCCATGCTGGACTCAGGGCCGGAGGATGCAAACATGCTTTGAAAAAAAACTAAGGGACTGTTCGTATCGAGTTTGATGAAACACAACTTGGTGATGTCCAATGGGCAGCCAACTCCTGAGTATGGGATAAGTGACTGAACTTAATCAAAAAAAGATCCAACTAAAGTGTTTTATTTTTTTTTTCCTCCCTACCAAAAATAATGCACAGTAGCTACTTCCTGAGATCTGATGACCTTTGAAACAAGGCACAGTGGAGTTATCACACTGTATTTATGACTGCATGTAAGAACTACTGCCCACACCAAACGTGACCACTGGATGCAATGCCACCCTTCTTCCTCAGCTTGAAATCCTGTCTTCAAGCACATGTGGTTATTTGCAGCAGGGAAGTGGAGGGGAGGGGGGGTGCTTTATTGGCTTGCCAGGTGAGGGTGGGTGTTTCTTTAAAAAAAAAAAAAAGAAGAAAAAAAAAAGATGAAGAGAAAAGCCTGAAGCTAACAGCTTTCAGTAAACCAATTTTAAAGCATGGAACCGAGGCTCGTGTTGAGTTTTGCCAGCAGCCCTGGCAGGTGGGCAGGAAGGGGAGGCTGGGAGGCCCCAAGGTCAGGGGCAGAGGCAGGAGGAGACCAGGGCCAGGTCAGGCAGATGCACAGCCAGGGCTGCTCCTTCCCTTAGCATCGTTTGGGCTTTAACTTAGACATCTCTAATCCACTAACCATCCATGCACAAAAACCTCTTATCCAAGGTTAATTTAGTCCTTTCAGACTAAGTTAGTTGGCTTGTACACAGCTACAGGCGAGATTTCCCCTCAGACTGTGAACATTCACTCTGCTGAGAGGATTTAGGCTAAATCATGCAAGTGCTGACAGCCCTCCAACATTTCTCTAGTCTCCTTAAGTGCCCCAAAAGTCATTTAACTTTCCTACAGTTCACTCAGGAGGAATCACAGCTTGGCCCCATGCAGTTTGAGGACCCAGAGGCTCCCTGACCAGCAGGGAATGGGTGCCCACAGCATTGGGTAAGCTGACACTGGATAGGCATGCCATTGCTGCAGGGCCACACCACTGCTGCAGTGGTTGTGGGGCTCACTGAGAGCCCCAGCCTGATTAGCACTTTCATGTGGACCTCCATACCACTCATCTCCAGCTCCTGAATGTGTATTTGAAAGCTTTTCTCCCATGGTCAAAGCCTGAGGATCAGTAGTTGATGCCAAGCCTGCTTTGGAGAAAATCACAGCTCCACAGCAAGTTGCCCAAAAGGAGGGAGTGCAACTGTACAGTCAAGACATGGCACGCACAGTCCCAAAACCAAGGATCCCAAAGTGTGACACATCCCAGTGAGCAGAGGGTGCAGTGTTTGGCGGTTCACATCAAGAAGCCCAGTGACCCTGATCCACAGGCTTCAAAATATTTCTAGTCGTTCTTGGCATCTGTGTTCAAGTCTGGATTACTTCTAAGTGTGTTAACTTCCTTTCATAACTTAAAGCAAACACTATGTATCCCCTTTGGAAATGCTAGGGAAATGTGTGGAATGCTACCAAAAATTGGAATAATGTTACATTTATTTATGGAGAAAAGGCAGCCATGTAAGCATAACTATCACAAGTGAAAATGAAGACAATCTTAATTTTCAAAATAAGTATTATAACACCACTAAGCTTCCCATCCTCTTCCTTTGAACCAGGGTTACTTTCCAGGCTCCTTGGGGGTTAGAGGCTCTACCACAGCCAGGAAATTCCTCAGGACAGAGCCAAAAATATCCCTACATATCACCTAATATAGTATAATACAAATAACATATTGAGAAAAGGAAAACTAAAATCCTGTCCATAAAACCTCAGTATAGTTGTGGACTGCAAACCACTATGGATCAGGCTTGAGAGGTATCTGGAGGGGGTGAACTGGCTCTGTAAGAAGAAAAATCCCATTCCCCAAGGCAGCAAATGCTGCTGCCCATTGGTCTTTATCAGGGCATCACAGAAAATGCCTTAGGCCCACATCTTCAGACCTTTCATCCCAGATCACTGAGCCTGGGCCCTTTCTTGCACTTTTTCCCACCTATTGCAAAAGTGGCCCAAACCTTTGTGCAACAAAACTGAGTTTTCCTAGCACTGCTACAAGTTCTTGGTCAACCCCAGGGTAATGGTGTAATGACTATCAATCAGCAGTCACTCAAGAGTGGGAGGCAGCCAAAGCAGTGGAGAGATGTGCCAATTCCCCTGCATCCTGCTGACCAGTATTTTGAAAGTAATTTGTCTGCTGTGAAAACCTCATAGACCCCACTTCAGACAGGAGGGCTGAACAGACACAGTACTGCACGGAACAGGCTACCAAAGATAATGACAAATTATTTTGACTGTTATACTAAAGCTGTTGGCCAGTTTCAGATCAGCTGAAATGCTGTAAAAGAAAACAAGCACAATGGCTGGTCACAAATGGTGAGCACCCAACTAACCAGTGACTGGTGCTTTGCTACCAAGAACACTTGTGTAGGGCAGGTAAAGAAGGCTATCCCACAGATCAGGTGTATTTTCTGCCTGAAATTATCTTAGGTGGCTACAGAAGGGAAATTGCAGGTCAAACCATGGAGAGGCGTTTCATGTCCTTTTTGAGGCCAGTGATGACTATGCAGTCAGAATGTGCGCATTTAAAATTGCCTTTTAAATAGTCTTTTGCTCATCCAGCCAGAAGCCTCTAAATCTGACATCATAAGACATTGCTGTGGGGAACATTTTCCTGTCACACTGGGAAGATTAGAGATGAAAGAGGGCTATACGGAGCAAAGTCTGATGCAATGAGGATGAATTTGCTCTATAAGTTGAGTGATTAGGAGAGATATCTAGAAGTAAGACATACAGGCTAGATGTCTTTTTTGGACCATGAGCAAATAGGATTTAGAAAGTAGAAGAGAGACTGTGACAAAGTGAGACACATGAGAGCTAAATGCAAACAGGCGTTCTCCCAGCTTTCCAACTTCTTACTCACCTGGCACAGTGGAGAGCCGGGAGTGCCACAGGTTTAAGATCTGTCTGTGCTGCCCACCTCTTCTGCACGAGTACTTCAAGTACAGCAAAAGAAAACTGAGAGTGAGCACTAACCTTTCAGACATTGATCAAACTTCATATTCCACAGCCTTGCCTTTCTGCCCTTTTGACTGTGCATTAGGGAATGCCTCTCCCTGTTTACACTTCTGTTGTCATGTGAGTAGCCCTGTTGGGCTTATAGCATATTTATTTTCATAAATCTTCCTTGCTAGAAAACACATTACATTTTATTGTTATTCTTAAGACACTCGTATAAACATTGTATCATTTCTATAATTACACACCTAAGTAGGTAGGATGCCTGATTGAACAGATTGTTTACTGTTATTCTTTTATAAATCTTTTTATTTCAGTAAGATGATAATGTGTGCTCTCACTCTGATACAGTACAAGACGCGTGCTAGGAGGAGCAGATTGTTGACTATTGTTTTAATAAATATTTTTATTAAGCTGATTTATATTAAAGTGATCTCTTTTACCAGCAGGGAAAAAAATGGTTTCGAGAATGACTAGCCAACTGCAACAGACATAATAATAGCCATCAAGTTTATAGTAGTACCTTCAAACAATCGCAAATGAAGACATATGTTGTTTCACAAAAAACATGCATTATGAAACATGAAATTGCATCATGTTTAAGGTATTCTGCATACAATATGTGTTAGTGAAGTGAAAGGGCACATCTGTGCCGTACTTACTCAGATGACTGTTTTATTCACTGGATGATGGCAATTTATTCATTGATTTCTGGACCCCAGATTGCCTAGAAGATATCAGATATCTGGCTGATGTTAAAACAGTTGGACCTTGCATTTGAATCTCATTCTTTGTAGCTGTTTAAAAATCATAACTGAATAATAAGCAAACAAAAAAAAAAGAACAAAACAGAAATAAAGAATCAAATAGCATTCCCTCCTCTCTGATCCATCAGATGGAACGACATACACTTACATACTTAATTAAAACTTACTTTGGCTGTGCATATACTGAAGTCAAGGTCTGGACCATAAAATGAAGATGTTATAGGAAATGACCGTAGACAATCATATTGTTGTCTGGTAGTGCCATAAACAGGTTTTCAGAACTTAACAACAAGAAAAAGTGTTTAATTTCCGTTTTTTTTGCCTAAAGCCAAGTATGTGGGGAGGTCTCATGCCTTCCTTCCCAAGCTAAAAGAAAAAGAGTTGATAGGTATACTCTGTTTACCAAGTAGAGGTGTAGTATACCACTGTTTAATGTGGCAGTAGCCAGTGCACTGTCTCTTCCCTGTTCCACTTAATAAACGTGTGGGCCTGATAAGGGGAAAGAATCAAGGCTGGTACTTCAGCCACTGTGTGCTAGGGTCCTCCTTATGGTCTGCTTGACTTCCATGCATGGCTGTCTCCTCCCTATCCCGGGGACCATACCCAGCCACCCAGCTTTAGAAGGAGTGTTCCCAATGCAATTTTCACTTCTCAGGATCCTTCATTCAGGGTAATCAATCCATAGGAAACAAAACTCTGCCCAGAAACATGAGAATATCCTACTCGCCCTCTGTCATCCACTGCTTAACAGATTCTACAACCTTAACGACATTGAACTCAGAGGGACAATGCAGACAGATACATCAAAGCACCATTGATACTCTGTAAAAATAAGATTAAGACAGGATTCCCCTCGCACTCATTGCAATGTGCAGTCTTTGTAAGAAATCTCTTTTAAGCTCACATAGCAGAACATGGCTGGAAGTTTTAAAAACACAAAAGTGTACTCCCAACTTTCATTTCTGTACCTAAGAGCCTCCAAATATAATAAAAAGTGAGGTATATTGAACTGATACTCAGAGTGGAAAATTTAAAAGTTCATTTCTACTAGCATTCAGATATTTTTCTATGCAAAGTATTCATTTCATTGTGGTAGAAAGCAACAATGTTTTCTCAAGTTTACTCCCTCTCCCCTTGGGAAAAAAACATGCAAAAATCATAGCCCTTCCACACCAAAATAATTCTTGATGGAAATATTAAAGGTAGAGGAATAATATTTCTTCTGAAACAACTCGCAACATTGTATTTACCTTTGCCTGATCAGTTCCACAGAAAATACTATTTATATTTAAGCCAAAATGGAACATTTTCCATTTTTTTCTGGCCTATGTGGTCAAGGCAATCTCAAAGCCATAGAGGATTGTTTCTATTAAGAGGAAAGAAGAATGGTATCCATCAGATAATTGTTCTGGAAAACACAGTGCTTTCACCACACTCTTCCTTCTGTAATGCCAAAACAACCCATCCACCACCAGTGTGTTTCCAAATATACTCACAGCTGAACAAACACAGAGGAAAACAAGGGGATACAGGGCATCACAAGGCATCCCGCTTCGCTCCCCTGTGGGCCAGCCAGTGGTGCGGGTGGGCTGCGGGAAGGATCCCTGGGGACAGCAGTGGGCACCAAAGGGCTGCATGGTGAGCACGTGTCTGTTTACCAGATGCCGTTAAGGTCTTTCACCATAAGAACAGGAGAAAAGGAGAAACTCCTCTGCCTCACTGTGGATAGATCAGCAACAGTCATAGTTACAATCAGGCAACAATTGCTCTGCCACTAGCAGTGGCTACTGCTATACATGCATTTCCTCAACGATAGAGGAGTGACAATTTAAACATTTGCTGAAGGAGGCCTTGGAGGTGACCAGCTCCCAACCCCTACTTGTAGCTGGACTATTGCCAGCCTGGCTCAGGTCAGCAATGGCAGTGCCAAGTCTTGAAAACCCCCACGGAAAGCATCTTCGCAGTCTCCCTGGATACCATTTTCCAGTGCTGCATATCCTCCTAGCAAGGACAGTTAACTCTTACCCATTTCTTCCCTACAACAAGCAAAGGAAGGTGTGACCACTATGCTTGGTGCAGCAGGGATCACCTCTTCCTGGCAATGAGCACTCCCAGTCACCCCTGCTCAGACCTACCAAAAAGGGGGAAACCAGGGCAGCATCCCCCAAGATGAGCCGGGACCATTGCCTTGGTGCAACCACTGGCGTGGGCAGCCCACACAGGAACAGGACAGGACGCCTTGCAGCTGCACAGTTGTGATCTTATGAATGCCTTTGCAAGAGAGAGAAAAAAAAAAATGGCATTATAGAAGGAAGAGTGTGGTAAAAGCCATAATTTGGCTGGGATTAAAGAAACCACTGGAAGTTCCTTAGTTTTAAATTTTGCACAGATGTCAACTATACTTGTTCCTACTGTCTTTAATTTAATGTCTGGAATATTGTGGTAATGTAATTCAGATGACATATGACTGGGAAACAGCCAGACCAACAGATTTGTGAAATTTTCTTTTTATGTTTAGATTTAATAATAAAAAAAAAAAAAAAAAATCTCTCATGTGTGGCTTTTCTACACAGCAGTGTAAGAAACTGCTCTAGAAAGCTATGAAAAATAGAAGTGCGGTGCACTTGAAAATGCCTGCAGCCAGGCTGGAAGTCAAGGACACCTCGTAGTACTGGTGGCAGCTGCCATTTTCTCATTTTTCCCAGCTCAGCATGCCACAGCTCTCCCCCTTCCCACTGTGGAGAAGAGGCAAATGCCAGAATGATCATCATTTGCTTCAGCCCCTCGGCCCTTTTTTTCAGGCGCCAGGGTGCAGAAGCCAGTGTGCCCACGCTAAACGAGCCCTGTGCTCCATCCTGCTGCAGGGCAGCTCCCTTCCCTTACCAATGCTGGTGGGGGTTGTTTTCCACACCCCCAAAATCCCTTTGCAGTGCACAGGCGAGCAAGGAGAGTGAGCTTCATGACATGCTCTGCGTGTGTGATGAAGATAACCCATGCAGCTGCTGCAGCCCATGCAGCACCGTGTTAGATATGTCCAGTGTCAGGCTAGGTTTGTGCTGCCTTCAAACCCTGCCTTGTCTTGCCACTGGCCACACAGAAGGAGATTTTGGTGAAGAGCGGAAGTTTTTCCACCTGTAAAAATGTACCTGCCCCTAGCAAGCCCTGAAGTTTCCTGAAACCTCACATTTCAGAAATCAAAGTTGAAGGGATGCTGGCAGCATCTGCTGGTGCTGCCCTGCCTCACAGGGATGAGCAGGGCTCTCAGCTGGGCCCCACATCAACCTGCTGAAGGAAACCTCCAGTGGGGTGGTGCACCTTTCCCAAACTACTTTAACTCTCTGCACAGGGATTTACCTGTTCATATATAGCAAGATCATCAGAAATCAACCTTAACAAATAGAGGAATCTTGTAAGAACCAAGTGCATCTTGCTCTCATTATAAAAAGAAAAAAAAAAGTTGGATGATGACATGAAATTAAAAAAAACACACTGCAACTTTTGGAGTGACCCTATCTGGTCCTTTTTGTTCTTTCAGCTCTTTCACAACATATTGCAAAACAAGAGTGGAGGGCACCGTGGCTTTTAGAATAGTAATATCAGTATTTATTTAAGAGACTTGAGACAAAATGAACCAGAGGCAGATTCCTATTGTTTTGTATGCACCTGCATCTTACCCCAACTGTGTCTCCAGTAAGGTCCTGCTTAGTCTGGAGTAAGTGGTCCTAGAGACAACAAGCTAAACTATCTTTTCCATAATGCATTCATAACTACTTTCTCCCTGTCCCTGTTACCATGATGGGGTGAAGGTAGCACTGATTCCCCAGCACATGCCTCTGCCTGCCAGAGAAAACTGTAGCTTATATGATGTCTGGCAGCAGAGGTGCCCACGCATTGGCAGTGCAGCAGCACCCTGCAGGAGCACCTTTAGGTAAAATGAAACCATCCCAACTGGCGTGCTTAGTGCTCAGGTTGGCAGAGGAGTTGGAAGAACTCTTCAATAGACGACTTCTTTAAAACTTCAGTCTAGCCTCACTCTGTGTGCAAGTGACTCATATTGTTTGGAATCAATCTGCATTTGTTGCATTATGCAACTGCAATAATCTAAATTTCTACTCATAAAAGACATTAGAGCCATGTTCAAGCACAGAAAAAGGGCAGCAACAGGCTCCCACTGTCCTCTCTCTAGTTGCCATCAGCAGCTTTCTGAGTTAACTGCTCTTTCATGTATTTTAACTGTGAATTTATCAACTTATTTATTGCCAAATTCTCATCTTTGACTTAAAAAATACAGTAACTGATAGGGTTCAAAATTTAGCCACGAAAAAAAAAAACACATGGCAATCTGCATGCATCTTTCTGCTGACCTCTTTCAACAAAATATTACCTACACAATGGCCTCAGCAGCTTGGAGACCTGAACTGCTATTTCAAGAAATTTACCCCTTCACCATATTACTGTAGGTCTACAAATGCATACCTTTTTTCACTCAGAATGTTGACTCGGCTTTAATCTTAAACATACGGATGTCATTCTCTTTTTGCTCAGAGGCACTGATGCAACTGAAGAAAAACATTAGGTTTCTGGAGGGAGGCCAAGCTGGAGAGCAGCAGCGTAGGATATACAGTGCCTCCATTGACATCAGATCTGGAAGCAGATCAGATGTGAATGGAAGACCCACAGTGAGTCAGGTTTGCATGTAAACCTCCACCAAGCCTGGATCAGCTCCAAAAGCTGATGTGATATCAATGAAAGAGCTGCACTGTATCCACTCTCAGATACTTCTGTGGCACAATCAGATCAGTTTTAGCTACAGATTAAAATTTGGCCAAACTGTGTGGATTTTTTTTTTTAAATGGACTTGTTGAAACTTCATTAAAAGATTGTTAAGACATTACACACAGCAAACAGAGCTCAGAAACCCATGGTTAAACAGGACTCTGTGACCAGTTTTAGCTAAAGAAAGAAAGATCGGACTCTGCCAATTTTACCTCTTCACATTTGACAAACACTTATTTTCAACAGAGGCCTTTTGTTATTATATTTTATTTCCTATTGGCAATTTCAGGTGTTTTTATCCCTTGGCTGCTGATTGATGGATTTATTAGTTCCTGGAATCCAGGAAGATTTTTGTCTTGGGATTAAAACAATTTAGAGTGACCAAAACAGTAATTCCTTTCTGAGAACGTTCAGTTATAAATATGTAGGCTATCAAGTATTCCCCTGCTTTTTAATATATATTTACTTTTATTGTTTTCTGAAATGTGTGTTTTACTGTTACATCCATGCTGTTCTCCCACTCTCCTAATTCTCACACCAGGTTTTTGAAATCGAATAATGCAAATGGAGAAGTCAGGAAGAAACAAAGCAAGCCAATTTCCATTAGTAAAGCACCACCTTCTCTTAATTTTGTGGAAAACAATCTGCACGTCATGTACCACAAACCAAAGCAAAGAATATAAATGCTGCCAGATCCTCACTTCTACTGTAAGGTCAGGGTTCTTGCTTTTTATAACCTTGTAATCTCAGAACTTCCTACTTACCAATTTCTTTCTGTTTCTGCTGAGCAGGAAGAAAGGAAATACAAATCCATTCTCATTTTAGTTGGTAGGTCTAAAGGTTCTCACACACACTTAGAATTCAGTCCCTGCTGTGCAGCCCTGTCCTAACCCACCATGCCGATGTCTTTCTGGGTCTTTCAGATATCATTTCTTCACAGTAAACTCAGTATTTTCTTTTTTTTGTGTGCTGTGCAGTTACACAATATCAAACTATTGCAAGAATCTATTACATTTCATGGCATCAATTCAAGACCAAAAAAAAATTTGCCACCTTTGCAAGAACCCAGTACAATTTGAATGTGTTTAATTTGAGGTACATTTGCAGCCAGTAGGTTAGATGTGAGCAGAAAGGAGAAACTCATTTGTTTGTGTGCCAGGTCAGCAGTAAGTGGGTGAACTCTACAGTGCCCCTGTAATTTTGGAGGAACTCTCTCCACCAACGCTCACAGTTTTTATGCCACTATATCAAAGCATTTAGGCTAACAAATAATTAACAGGCATCACACTGTTCATATAAGACAGTTGAAATTGCAAGAAGGTCCGGGAGACACAGGTCCTTCATCAAGGCCAGAAAGCCCATATACTACTCTGCTCCCTCTTCTCTTGTTCCAGGTGTACAATAGATACTATAGCCCCTTCTACACTTTTCTCTAGATCCCAGCTCTGGAGCTGCCTATAAGCTGGTAGCAGCCTTGAAAGACATGCATGGAAATGCGGGAGTTATTGTATCCTTTTGTGTTTTTGTTTTGTTTTGTTGTTTTTTGTTTTTTTTTTCTTACCATGCATAAGTATGTATTAGCAAATGGAGATGAATCCTGCCCTCGGCAGTAGACACTCAGTACCACATTCATTCATTCACCCCTTTGTTCATTCTATGGCTATGAAACAATACACTCCCACAAATTAAAAACATGCTAAACATTAACCATGCTCATGGTTTTAGAACCATACATATATAATCTGGTTCCCCATTTCTGTTGAAACCTCTGGGAAAGCTCCCACTTCAGACTTTCTCTTTTGGGGCAACAGTGGGGCCCTCTGCCTTTTCTGCTTTGTGACTATACCAGGATTTTACTTCCCTCTCCTATCCTACCCTTATGCATGTACACCAGGAATTGTTCCTGATATGCCAGGTACATCCAGCTTTCCCTTCCCTTCCTTACAAGGGAATCTTATATACCTTTGTTGCCTGCATTGTGGGGAAGGTTTGTAATGGTGCTTGAAGTTCCAGGCTCATTGAAAATGCCAGCCTTCATCTCCACTGCCTTTGTGAAATTCTTTTTTTTTCTTTTCTTTTCTTTTTTTAATGCAGTAGAGATGGAGTCTGACACTAAAGTCTTTGCATGTGTGAACTTTCTAGGTAAATGCCAGCTTGACTCATCCCATAATTAAAACTTGTCAGAAGGATATCCCAGTTTATATATTTGAGCAGTATTATTGTTCAAGGGACAAGCATAAGCAATTTATCTTAATTTGAGATGGCAAAGAAATGAGTGAGAAAGACTAGCAGCAGATGTACTTTTGTTTTCTTTGTGTGATGCAAAAACAAAATAGAAACTGAATCCCTCAGTTACTGTTTTTGTATGCATATTAAAAAAGATATCAGACTTGAGTCAAGGTTTTATCTCAGCAGTACATTTCATGCATTAACCCCCTCCTTTTATGCACTGCAGACTAGATTATGTCTCCTCTCAGCTGTGCAGGAGCACAGTATGTAGGGGAAAAGGTAACAGCTTCCCTCTTTCCTCCCTAGTGTGTAAGAGGCATAGACCAAATCCAGGTATAGGGATAACCAACCACTACTAATGAACATCTTAATGACAGAGAGATAAGGTACTGTTAATGAAAGCTAAGAATGGCTTTACTGAGTCCACACCCCTTATTTCAAAGCAATAATGCCATGGGACTGAACATCCTTTCTGTCTTCCTTATGAGGTTGGTAGCCTTATTCAAGAGCTATATATAACACCTACATGTGAGGCCGGTAAGCATGTAAAAACCTTTTAGCTTTGGCCGCTATAGGGTAGGAGTAAACCTAAGAGCTACTCCTGTGACACATCCTTATTTTGGTGTAGCTACTTACCTGCCTGTTACTTACCATGCTTTTGTCTCGTGCCCCCCATGGACTGTAACATGAAGAGAAAAAAAACGTTGGTAAGATAAACTTTTGTTTTTCTCTCCATATGTAGAGTTAGAATGACTGTACTGACACCCACAAACCAATCTTGATTAAAAACTTATGTAAATAAAAAGATTTGACCCTTAGAATTGTATGCAACAAATGGCGTTAATCTGCTGAAGATAAACAGATAATTTTATCCCTTGCTACTAATTTTAAGTCATAAGAAATGGTTTAAAAATTGTTATACAACCCTCCCTATTTGAGTTCTCATAGTTTCCAGTTTCACTCATTGTGTTGATCATATGCTTTGTGTACGCGATCCGGATGGTATCCTTGGTACTTTTATCCCAGAAAATACCCATAAAGGTGTATGTAGTCATCTTTGTAGGTTTCTCTGAAGTCTATATCCTTTTCAGAATGCATCACAACCTTGCTGTCTTCAATTCAAATGCTCAGTCTCTCCAGAGACTCCTCTTCATCTCATTTTTCTTTCAGGGCAGTAGATGCTGGACTCCTTTTTTGAGTCTCTCAGTAAAGCTCAAAAGCCAAACAAAACATACAGAAACCTCTGACTAGATTTCCAGTTTTCTATGGGGCTCTTAACCTATGGGTCTTTTCAATCTTCAGGTTCAGTCAACACAAGAACTAGCTCCTACCTTGTAACTTGACAGTGGCCCTAGTTGTAGACAAACCACTCATTATCACAAGTCTTTTGGCAAGCACGCAAAACCTGTTAGCTTCATTCCTCTCCTCCCTACATCACTAGCCCCTTTTTATCTCAAACACACATCTTTACCCAGCTGCACCTGTGTCTGATGGAGTGGGGTCTGAACATCTGCAGACACAACATAGCAGGCTGAACCCTTAGGAGCCACACGGTCACCTAGTGAGTTAGTCAGTAAGTGTGGAAAAAAGGTTTCAATGTAGTCATAGAAAGTTTTGATTTTAGAATTAAAATTTAGCTTTAAGTCCCAATCTGCTAAACAAGTAAGTTTACTTGAGTGTCAGGATTTCAGGAAAACCACTTAGGTATCACTTGTGTAAATGCTCAGTTTCATGGAAGCTCTGGGCAGGAAGGCATAGCCCCTGACTGCAGCAGAGGACCAGAATTCACCTTTGTGCTGCAAAGAATTTGGTCCATGAGCATCAAATAGTATTTCTTATAAATGCGATACCTATACTCCTGGTAGAAGCCTATATGTCCAAACACTACCAACTGCTGCAATTTAAGAAGTCATAAAAGAGTCATAAAAACAATTCAAATGCCAGTTTGCTTCAGGCACTGTACTTAATCGGTATGTCATCCAGACACATGTGCTTGTCATTAAAGAAATGGATTTTCACTGGTAAAGTAATATCAGCAAACTCGTTGATGATACCAATGATACCATCGATGACGGTGACATGAATTTCATTTTCATACATGAACGTAACACAGGCTGACCAGGTGGTTATCTCCAAATGAAGGTTTGTGAACACTCACCAAAATGGTTAGGCTGCAATACCAATTGTTGATCTGAGGGATTTCTGGTGACTTCTGCAGGAAAAAAAAAAAAAGGGGAAGAAGAAAGATGGATCCAGACAGCAGTCCTTATAAACACAGTTTAAACAATGTGATTTCACAGTTGCTTAAAAGTCACAGAGCAGCTGCGTTGAAATTGTAAAATCTGCAGTTTTATTATGCCAATGACTTTCTATTGGCCTCAGTCATAAAATAACATACTCCTCACTGAAGTTCTCTGCTAAACAAAAAACACATCCAGACTGACTAAAAATCAAACTCAGACAAGCAAAAAACAATTTGGCCTTCATCTAGTTGGGCTCAATTGGTCCAATAATAAACAATTTTATTTTTCTTCTTCACTGCTACTGATAATAGTGATAATAATACTGATACCTTATTCCCAACGGAGAAAATAAAGCTCTGAAAAGTAACTATTGCTGAGAAGAATTCATAAATAGTGTTTCACCCTCCTGAAGAAGGTAATGGCATGCTGATTTTTTCTATTTTTTTTTTCTATTACTGTTTTTGTACAAATTTTAAATTTGTCAACTGCAGAAGAGGATGTGCTGAAGAGGTTTCTCTCCAGCAGAGAAGACATGCAAGTCTTAATCATTCAGTGCTGCTTGGGAATTCAGGCAGTGGCTTTATTGCTTCTAGAGTAATAACTATTTTTAGCCCACATCTTCTGTGCCCATGTCTGTACACTTAGAGGGTACATTAAGGTCTAGTGTACTGTATACTTTAGGCAGAATAAAAATAGGTTCTAAATATAGCACTTACTTGAACACAAAATAGATGTTCCAGATAATACTTCAGGCAGTGAAACTACTACAACACCGTACTGCTCATAGGTATAATGTCAAAGCACCAGGGAAAACAGTCCTTTTTTCAATCTCTGTGACGACAAGTAACATTTGAATCATATACTTGAAAACAGGGATATAGGTAGGAATATTGCCCTTCACTCATTTAAAGATAATGTTCAATGTACGATTTCTTCATGCTTTTTAGACTCACTTTTCTAATACTGAATGTGTTTTTCTCATGCTTTGTATTCTCTGACAACAGTAACTTGTCAAACAGTCAAAGGACAGCATGCCAGCATAGGGCACAAAACCTTCTTGAGAAGCCTGTAAACAATATACTGTGATTTGTATCACATTATACTTGTATGGGATTGTGTCCACTAATTTGATATTTTTATTGGTATTTAATGATCATATGACAGGATAAAAGATGATACGGTATGGTGTGGCTATGGTCAGGGTATCAAATATTGAATCACTGGGAATCCCCCAAATACATTCTCATTATCCCGTTACACTTCTTAGATTTAATTTAGTCTCTTATGCATACCCTTAGTTTTAGAAAACAGTGAATATTAATCTTCTGAAAGTATAAATAAAATTGATCTCTGTGGACATTATCTGATGAGTCATCTCTTGGACTATGTAGAAATTCAGTTACTACCAAATAAATTTTATTTTTGGTACAGCTACAGCTAATGCAGTCATCATGCTCACAGTGTTTACCATTTAACCTTAGAACTTGTATTAATTTTATGGTGGAACTAAAACGATAGACCACAGTCATTTAATAGACTACCTAGGTACACAGGCATAGAGCTGAGTCTAGATTCTTCTGCCCTCAAAAAGACATCAAACTGTGACTGTTCAACTTCTAGGGTTAGCAGCCTATTGAATTGGAAGGGGCCTTTCTTATCTCTCTGAGATAAGATTTCAGATCACTTTGCACACTCAGCCTGATCCTCTTAAAAGTATTTCTGGTTTACATTTGGATGGCAATGGCTAATGGATTAAACCAGTCAGGTCAGCAAGAATTATTCAGGCTTCTACCTGAATCCCACCTTGACCTTCCATTGAAAAACTAGCATTTGAAAGTGAGAGAATCATCCAAGTCCCTGCCTTGAGATCCATGTCACAGAGGAGTGACAGCATTGTAAGACTGCGCTGTGAAAAAAATGGCAGATAAAAAAACTGATTTTTTAAAATATCTAATGTATTTTTAAGTATATCTTACATAGGTTCCCGAGCAATTCCTCATCCCAGAGCTATTGTTTTATGCACATGGAAACTCAACTATGAATGCATTAATTCTCGGAAAAATTGCTGACTGATGAGTTTCTTAACAGAGTTTCCAATATTGAAGATGGCAACTGGACAGAAATGGTGGTAGGGTGCACCACCATGTGCCTCCATACAATCTCCATACAGTTGGAAAAGAAGGGCTGGATGATTCATGGAAAGCTGGAAAAAATCACATGGAAGGCGATTCAGAGCTCTCCTGTGCTGAAAATTGAGGCTTCATTGCTTTGTCTTCTGGATACTCCACTAAGCATAGAGGGAGACCAAAGTCCTAATTTAAGTACCCAAGGTCTCACATCCTGTATTTACATTTGGCATGTAAATTCTCTTGGGCAAAAATGTGAAGCCCAGGTTACACGGACTGTGAAAAAGGCATAGGTTCACTCCCGTCTGCTTTTTGAACACTGAAGCTTCCAAAAACTTGGTGGTAAAAAGCTGCCAATGATGACAAGAATAAAATAATAAATTTAATAATGTCAATAATTTTTATGCAAGCTGTACCTTTTGAAACCTCCACATCTTTAACAGAAATGATGTATGATTTGCAATTCTTAAGACAGACAACTTCGCCAAAACATGCTGTCAGCTTCATTTTGATTGTTTCTTTCCCCCAAATGTAGCAATTCACAGAATTGATCTCTCTCTTGTTTTATTTTCAATAATCAAAGGAAGGAAGCCATCATCCAGAAATGCACTGTAAAGCAGACTGTTATCTAATGCAGTGAAACACAATGCATGATTTGTGTTTTCTTTAACTGATTTAAATCACAGCTGAATTGCAAATCCCTCCTTGTCAGAGAGAATGTAAAATTTGGGCAGCACTGGAGTTCTAACAAACCTGAATGATGACCTTGCACATCCTTTCTTTCCCTTTTGAATGCTCATGAACTTAATTTGAGTGTAAGTGTTTCAAGGATCAGTCTGAAACAGTGTTTTTGAACTCAGCTGGGTCACAGGAACTTTCTCAGCACTCTATTCTAATTTGCAGGTTTGCTATAATAAAAGCTTCAAATATATTGCTACTGTCTAGACATTTTATCTGAAACAAGTGTCCTTTGTAGTCTCAGAGGACTTTTCTATTTTATTTCCAGTAAATCAAAGTCTGTGAAGAGCTTTGGTTCTTATTAAGACATACCCTTCACAGTTCAGCGATTGCCAACGGAGGCAAGCCATTGACAGTTCATTTACATATAAGTGATGACTTCCATCAGGTAGTTGGCTCAAAAATACAATGGACATTTAGAGCATATCCAATATTTCTTGTTCTTTGATGAGCATCAAGTGCCAATTTATATATAGAAACTGACTATTGGAAAGTGAAGGTTTCTTTTCACTGACCTTACACTGTCTTTTGCAGATCTGGAGTGACAATATGTCACTCCACTAAAAGTGAGTTCATTTCCCCAAAGAGACATGTGAAGAAATACCAATACAACTGTAATACCCTCCCACCCCCTTTCCTGCTATATTCCTTGGTAACGCAAGTCACCATGCTGTAAAGCAGCCAGTGGGGCAAGGGTTGGGACCCTGGGGGGCTGAACCCCACAGTGACAGAGGGCAAAGTGGAGGTGTCGAGCAGCCAAATGAACAGCCATGCTCTCTGTCAGGTGGGAAGCCCCAAGGGTGGAAGGAGTGGGGAGTGAGGGCAGCTGCCTGCCAAAAACAACCTGGATGCCACACTAATAGTGAATACTGATGTAGTCACAGAAGGTACAAATACAGTTTGACAAGGCAGAGGGAGGTGCTAGGGCTGCTGTGTGATGCAGCTGGCTCAGACAAATGCAAAATGGGGTTCCATCCTTGATATGATTTCATGCTTGGGTGATATGGCAAGTGGAAAAATGGAGGAACTAGTGGTGAGCCATATCCAAAGGTCTAGCAGTGATAACAGATCATGGATGTGCATCCTCTGTCTGGAGAGGATGAGGAAGAGCAAACCATTCAGGTAATGTTAGATATTTTACTTAGTATTTTCAATATTGGATGGCATTTTTTACAGTCAAGAGCAAGGCAGAAATGTATTAGAAAAAAAATAGGAATATAATAAAAATAATAGAATTTTTATTTAATAGCAGAAAAAAAAAAAAAGAAAAACAATAAAAAATAATTTCAAAGCCAGAAGCAGGCAAAGGTGAACACGAATACCTTCCTTTTAGAAGATGGATGGAGCCAGAATACACGTCCTGGAACAACATCTATTCAGAACAGTATTTTTTACATTTGTATTTAATATGAGAAAGGAAGGCAGAGAAAAGGAATCCTTCCAGTTACCCTACTACTTCCACTAAGAGAGAGCAAACAATTCATCCAGCAGTACTAAATGCTTCAAACCTTCCCCAAGTTTTTTACTGCCTCCAAGTCCCCATTAAAGCTGCAGCATGAGTTGCACATATGCCACATGTCTATTCCTTCAAATTAATCGGGAAGGGGGGGTGCAGAAAAGTGGTTAGCTGATAACCTGGTAGGTCATTTTTATCTCAGAAACAGTAATCAATTCTTTCTTTCAGCCAGATTCTTAAGCATCTTGTTTGGGCTGAAGGAGCATGAACAGCTGGGGATGGACAGTTGGCAGCTCCTAAAGGGAATCAGCTGGCAGTGGGTAGACACTTCTCCCTGAGCACCACAACTATTTTAGAGGGTCCCCATTGCCTCTCACCTCCAGGTGGGATGGATGCTGAACCAGCTGCTGGTGTGCCTGTGCAGCACAGGAGAAAAAATCTCTATGAAAATAATAATGGGTTTCTTGCATCAGTTGTTGGCTGTGCTTACGGAGCAAAAGAAACAAGCCCTGCCTGCCCTTATTGATTCTTGTCTCCATGTTGCACAACACAATTATGCCAGTTTAAGGGACAGCGGTTCCTCTGCACCCAATGAAAAAAAATCAGAGGCATAATTTACTCTTTTAGGCCTCATGTTCTGAAATACTGAATTTTTAGAGAAGGAAGCTACTGGAAGACTGGTAGAATAAAGATCTGTCCCTTATACATTTGAAAGACAAATTGCCTTAAAAAAAATAAACACACTGGCTTATATGTTGCTCTACAAAGGCTACCGGATAGTATATTTTTATGCTTTTCTTCTCAGTTGACTACATCATAGCGTTTTAATTTTTGAATCTATTATGTACATTGCACACTGTTTTACCCTATCAAGTGCAAACTGATTGGTCTAAAATTACATAACCTGCTGGAGATTTTCAATTTAATTTTTATAACCTACTTGAGAATGTCTTTAACATGAAGGAGCCCTGTGTCTTGCTTACTCTCAGATGCAATATTCTTTCCAATGAAAGAGTGTTTCTACACTGGAGTTTGATTTCTAAAGACTCCACCATCTCTTTTTCATGCAGTGACACCAACAATCCTGATCAGAGAGGTGTTTTTTTTTCCTGCTCTTTCATTGAAGAAATCACTAATGCAGCTGACACTTGAAAATCAGTTTTCTTTGACTTCTTACGGGAAAATGCTGCAATAAGAAAAAAAAAAAAAAAAAAAAGCCATTAATTCATTAAAGCATATCACAAGTTTAATAATAAGAAGTTAGATAAACAAGGCAAATAACACTTAAAACATCAAGAAATCCATACATTTTACATTCTTGGGAGAAGGCTGATAAATTAATTTTCCCAGTTGAGACTATGCAGAAAACCTAGGATGAATTTTCAGCTTGTTTCAGGGACACCAAACTCTAAATAAATAATTAGCCAGAGTGACTTGACTTCACCGCATTTACAGAGCCATGCTGTACATGCAAGCCACTCTTAGTTCAAGTGTCCAAGGAAGACATAATATTTCTATAATCATTACTCGTTTTGTTTTCAGTTATCGGATTCCTGATAGTTTGCAGGCAACGTAGAACTATTCTCCATGTGATCAAAGAGATATGACTGCTGTTTTGGATCACCCAAAATAGTTTCTAATATTTTTCTTCTTCGATTGAGAAACTTGCTAACACGTCCATAATTTGGCCTTGCTGTAATACATATTTTTTTAGACTGGTTTCAGGATTTGCTAACACAGTTGCTTGGTAACATTTTCATTTTTTTTAAACAAGGAGAAGTCGAGTCAGATATGTAAAATACAAACATTACAAAAAGAAAGAACAATTTTGAATATTTTATGAAGCCAAATAATGAAAAGGGAAGATAATTTCCACTTGGTCCTGTAATTCCAGGAATGCCACTACTTACATATTCTGGCCCGAAATGGGGCCGTGCTTTGTTGTAGAAGACTTGGAGAGATCATTTAAGACATTCTACTCATCCTGACCAAGCCAAAGAAGAAGAACATCAATAGTGCACAAGAGGAAAGAGTTACTTGCACCCATCAGAAAAGAAGAAAAATGGGACCAAAAATACACTCCTGTACACCAGTCAAGCATCCCTACAGAAGGTTATAAGAGTTGACACAGAAGCTCCTAAGTACTGACACTAATTCCCCAGAACAAGACACTTTTGGTCATCTTCATATCCCCTGGAGATACCCTCCTAACATGCAAGAGAAACGGGATTGCTAGGGAGCCAGGTATGACTGCATCAGGCAAACAAGGACATGCTGAGCATGCTTTGCCAAGAATAGCAAAGTATGTGTTTTTAAAATTAAAAGGTATGTTCCCTGTAAGGAGAGGAAGAAATACTGCTTTCTGTACTGCATTCGTATAGCAGCCCCTTACCAACTCTGCTTGTTGCACAGAAGTGCCTCACACCGTAAATACTCATTTGAAAATAGGACCAACACCATCCAGAGCTATGTTCTTGGTATGTATTTTGGCTTGCTTTAAAGTAAAGTAAAATAAAATAGCATATATTTAGCTTTAAAATGGCACATACTTGGCACAGTTTTGATGAATAGGAGTTTACCATGTGGATATTACTTTCTACAGAAAATAGACTATTCAAAAGAAATAACAAGAGCAGGATGCTTTCTAATATGTTCCAAAAGTAGAGAAAACAAACACACACACACAGGCAAACAAACAAACAAACAAAGGACTTCGTTCTGCAAATACTTTCACATGTGAGAAAATGGCACTTAGCTGCCTTCACGCCAGTTGTTATTTCTGAAAGGAGGAGGACCAATTCCCTTCTGACAAGACTAAGATTAATGCTGTCTGAGTAACAGGTAGTCAAATGACTTTCACAGACATAAAACAAATTTATTTTTTTTCTTTTTAAACTATTTATCATTAATACAATAGAGGATTGGAATAACACACAGAGACATACATGGACACACACCCCTAATTTGTGCATTCAGCCAGTACCACACTATTGTAAAAGATTAGGTCCCACAGATTTCACTGTTGCTGACAGTGACTTTGCAGGCCAAAATAGACAGGTTTTCTGTCACATATAGACATGGTGAGGTAAGTTAGCGACTAGGTGGGAAATGAGTTGCTTAAAGAGGATTCCTTCCTGCATCACTACTGTCAACACAGCTAACACCATTTTGACCAGTATCCTGGTCATTCCTGCAGTGCCTCCACATCCAACATGATCCTTATGAACCGTGTTAAAAGGTTACTTAGCATTTATTTTAGCATTTGGACTGAGCAATGCAGTACTCAACTGGAAAATGCAATTGGAATCAGTGGAGAATAATTATGAAGGGTATAGAAAGAAACAATTGCCAAGAACATTTATATTATGATTTCAAAGTCTAACCAAGCCTCTCCTCCATCAGTAGTGAAAACAAGGAGACAGGAGGAGAATAACAACAGAAGGGAGAAGAAAGAGAAGCAGCTGGAAGAAATAAGCAGGAAGCCCCAGAATGGAAACTCTCTTGGCAAGATCTGTGGAAAATAGACCCATATCCATAGAGCTGAATTGTATAAAATAATCCATTACCAAATAAAGATTTATATAATACACATATTTAAGCTTTGCTATTACCTTTTCTGCCCAAGTAAAGAAAGAAAGAAAAAAGAAAAAAAAAAAAAAAAAGGAAAAAAAAGGACCTGTGATAGTTTGGATAATAGTCCAAATAGCAAGGGTCAACTGAAATTTATTTTGAAATTTTTCTTCCTCTGCATGTGGTGCACTTGGTCTCTTGACCTTTTGCATATAAAAGACAGTCTCACCTAAACACTCCTTATTGGACAGAGTATGTGGGGCTTCTTAAAATCTCAGCATTGAGATAACATCAGAAGTGGAAAGTGGGACTGGGTAGTGGGAAGTACAGGAAACAAAGCTAGGAGTATTCCAGAAAACAAACTAACTAACTAACAAAAACATCTCAAACCAGAGTATTAAATCTGTTTCCAACATAAACCTGACCATGAAAAGTATTCTTATAATTAGTGCTGAAGACACCTCAAAACACCTATAGAGCAGAGAAGCAAAAAGCTGCCATAAGACAGCTCTCCCCAATTATCCTATGCTACCGAAAAATTAACTTGCAGTGTTCACACATGAAGCTGTACATGTATATTGTACAGCAGAGACAGCCGCTTTACAATGTCTTAAAGACATGTTGTTATGAGGTACTGGCTTCTATAGGCAAAAAATTAGGGAAGCCTAATTTAACTGAAGTGGATTTCACATGTCCATCTCTGCAGCTGTTCATTGCCTCTGATAAATGCTTCAAGCATACTTTCTCAGTGTGCTAGTACACTGTAACAAATTACCTTGGTTGTTTCCCCCGTTTTCTCATCTTGAAAATTACAGTAATACTGAACTACTTTTCAACCATTAGTTATCTACTATTATTTTAAAAATACAGAAAAACGTATATCACTTACTATTGAAAATACATCAGCAAATATACACGTTATATTGGTTAGCATTGGAAGTACAACAGCCTAACTCCTCCTGGACAAAAGTCCCTTTAACTGACAAAAGACAGAACTGCACAAGTCGGCAACAACTCAAAAGAACTACCACAGAGTAAAGATGGAGAACTGCAACTGATGTTGAAGGGAGAGCATGTTTAGGTAGTGTCACAAATACAGATACTGAGATGTTGCATAGCTGTCCACTGAAAACTGCTGAAATTGAAGGTGCAATCCAGAATGACCCAGAGCACTGAAAAGTAAACAGTCACTTTGCATCCTTTCATGAGAGGGAAGCTATAGCCTGAAATCTAGAGTGGTACCTGTCCTGCAGTCCCTGGCTAACTCTCGTTATCATGAATGAACCATACTTAAGCTACTTTTCAATTCTAAGATATTACATGTGTTACAGATTTTTAAGTCAACTTGCCAGTTTAGATGGATATTATCACATCTGTTTACTGCTGGTAGACATTAAAAAGGAGTATGAGGACACAGCATTTTATTCTTGAACCATTTACACCCCTGTAAGTACTTAAGATCATAACTATTTATTTGGATGACAAAAAGATTTTCTCATTTTTCTTTTTTTTTTTACTTCTTTCTATTTTCACTTCAGTTTTTTGATGAACCAATAAAGCTGTAAAAACAGCCTCAGTCTTACAGAAGTTAGCAGCAATATTGTAACATAAGTTTCTGCTGGAGAAAATACATTAAAAGCAAAGATGACAGCTTGACATGCAGAGTTACAAGGCTGGCATGTAAAGAAAAAATCATGTCGTTATTGGGCATAGAATTCTCTAAGAAATAATAAATATGAAAACCTGCAATGACTTTTTAGGTCAGTCTCCTGAATATAACTAATACTGAGATATTCTGCAGTATCCCAACCTGGGCTGCAATTTACAGTTATACATAGGCATACTTCCCAACTCACCATACAGACAACACAAATAATAATCAGGATGTACAAAGGGATGTCAACTATGTGAAAAACAAAAGAAGACTAGCAGAAAAGCAGCAATTGATGAGCATTAAAAAACTTGGATATTTTGTCTATTTTTCATAGCTAAATTTGCAGTTTTGTAGGGAAGGTTGTTGAGTAGGCTGTCTCTCACCCTCCAGGACTGTCATTCCCCCACAAAAGGTCAGGGGAAAGGCTGCTGACACATGGTGACACAGCCTCGCCTTGCCTTCAGAGCAGCATCAGTGACAAGAAGTTCAGTTCTGCCTGCCTCCAGTGAAACAGATTCATCTACCTAAGCACATCTTTTTAAGTTGGAAAATCCGATGTAACAGCATTTGGAGAAAGGAAACTGGAGTCAATTGAGTCCCTGAAAGCTCTTGAGGGACAAACAATGCTCATTTTAAAGGAAATCTATGCTTAATACTATAAACCTATTTCAAATTCACCAAGTATGAGTTTTTAAATTTGAAAACAGGAAGAAAAGTACAGTTCATATAATCGCTGGTACATACAGCATTTGTACGTATATACAGTCTAATGCATGTAATGTAACGGGCTCTTGCTGTCTAGTTCCCCCAGTGGGTCCAGTGGTTACTCTACACACAAGACTGCATTATGATATAAGAGCATGGAAAAGCTGGTCTCTCAAATCATTCATTATTATTTTAAACCTAGAAGTACAAAAGCTAGAATGACATTTAAAAATGGGCAAAAGAAACAAGAAACAAGA